TTTAATCAACGTTTGCTGGAGGACACTGCAGCAGATATAGCTAATTATCAAACAGTCGATATCGCCAAGGCAGTGGATTGTTTGGTTAGATATCATTATTTAATACTTTGTAAATAGGACATATTTGGGTTTAGAATGGGGGCCACAGTGGATCAGTGATTAAAACGATCACTCACTAACCAGTCCGTCTCGGGTTCCACCACAATGTTGGACGCGACATTTCCTCGGAATGTTCAGCATGGTTTCCTCGTGGCAATGATGACAGAAAATGGTGACCTTTCAACAAATAGCGTCTAGTCGTTAGGGTGGGACCAAACATCATACAGTTGGAATTTGATGAAGACTAGACCGAACCGCCGCTGTCTTGGCGAAATTCCTCTCATATGCCTATGTGCATTATCCAGGTTGGTGCAGAAAAATGGGGCGTTAATTTCCAGTTCATTTTGCTTTCTCATTAATGACCACAGCCACACGCGCTGTGTCACCATCTTACCTCCTGGAGTCACTCAAATGTCCACCCAAGTCACGGCGAAGTTTGTTCAGATAATCTAGCTAAATGGTTTTAGCTACTTAAAGGCTCAATACCACTCATGTTGTAACTGAATAATATGTCCCAATCTTTATTCTGGTCAACAAATTGTACTATTTTACAATATTCCAATTAATTGATGATACAAATTTCATCTTAACACACCTAACTTAAAAAATTGGAAAAATTCAACTAAATGATTTGAAAAGCCTGACGTAAAGCTTTTCAAATGTTACTTGGATTTAAAAATATTTTTGAACCCTCTAGACAAGTAAAATAGGATTTAATGGATAATTTACACAACAGGTAGGACACTAACACATCTAGTACTTAGAACAGGGCTATTTTTTATTTTCTGGAGCTGTCAACCCAGCAAGAGTGTTATTGTTCCTTTAATATCTACGAAGGCATCTGGTACTCGGTAAAGGAAAATGTAAATGTCACCAGCCTACTGATATTTAACTAATATCGAACAAAAGAAGCTAAATAAGGCGGTGAAAGAAATGTTTATTGACTATTTTCATAAAAGAATTTCCAGGGATATAAGAAAAGAGTATTATGTTTCATCGACCAGTACATACACTGTTTTATATACCAGGCAAAACAAAGCTAATTAAATTTACATAACACATAGGAAGCCGTTGTGTCTCAGTGTGTTAGGCGCTGGCTCACTACCAGGAGTTCCGGTGTTCGCTCGCCGGGGTGGTCGAGAGAGTTCCACATAACACATAGGAAGCTGTTGTGTCTCAGTGGGTTAGGTGCTGGCACGGTGACTCAGAGGGTAAAAAGACGCAGACGCACTAACCAGGAGTTTCCCGTGGATTTTCCAGCGTAGCTTGCTAGTGGTGCACGTGGTAGGGCAAATAGGGTGTGCACTTTTAATGACTCTTTGACAATTGGAATTCGATATAGAATAGGACGAAGCGCTGCTGCCCGGGCCAAATTGCCCTTATACTCGTCTTCATTAGTCCAGTCGGCGCAGAATAGTAGGATGTTAAACCAAATGTCATTTCACGTAACAAACAACGAATACCACTTTTAATTTGCTCGACCATTCATGTCTTGTCTGTATATCTAACTACCATACTTCTATTTGATGAATAATTTATGACGATGTTCTTTTGAAGTTTTTCTTCAATTATTGATCAAAGGTTTTTTTTTAAGCTTCTAATCTAATTTCTTTGTCAATGCTGTAAGAATTTCTTATCTCGAGAGATTATCTGGCATTCTCCGGATTCCTTTTACTGCCCTATATTATTAAACTCTAGGTGAACGGGATGCACTAATTAAAAATTCGTAAACAGCTTATGCAATATCCGTTTATAGGCTATAAATAGTGATACACGTTAATGGGGGCCTTTCTTGTCTACGTTATCACCCTTGGTGAAAGTGGACGTTAGACTCCAGGACCGACCGACCGAATGGGGACCACGGTGGATCAGTAAAAATAAACAGGACGGCTTGGGCTCGATCCAGGTGTGGCCCCAGAAAGAAAGTTCTTTGAGATTTCTCAGTCTGATTCCAATTTGCCTGTGGCGGCGAGAAGTAATGCGTTCGGACGTGACGCAAAAACAGAGGTCCCGCGTATATAACAATTGGAGCTTGATAAAGACCCCCCTGACAATTGAAAATAAGAGGTCATAATTGTCTGGTCAGTATGCCGCTCATAGAACACTTCTAACATATACAAGTCCCATCTCATAAATAACGATGGGGATGATAATTTAATGAAGCAACTTATTTAGGTTGAAGATGCTAATCTCCAGCAGTACCTCATACACTAGAAAACATATCTACATGTAATAAAATAAGGGAGGAATATTTTAAACAAAGTACGGTGATATGCAATAGGAATGGAATAGTGTTCGTTTATAGAAAATAATAATAATTTTAACGGAAATGTCAGCATCACCATGCGTCTAATGGAGGGGCGTGGTAGTGGAGGGTGGGTGCTGACTTCGACTGAAAAGACCACTGGAACAGGTTAAAGTAACTGATCACTGGACAATACAAACTAAAAAGTATCAATAAAAGTGTGTCCAAAAATTTGGCCAAAAACACAGATTAATAAACAATTTCACATTCGTTTACAAATAAAGATAAATCAATAAGCTGACATTAGCCTTGAATTATATTTTAATCTTTATAATTAACCAATTTCAACAATGGCCTTATAAATCCAGTAATTAATTTCAATAAATTTATATAATTTGAAACTTTTATAAATTTATATAACCGATATGGTATGAATTGTTCTCGGAATTTATCCGAATTCCGATAACTTTATCTATAGTAACAACAATCTAATCCTGATGCTGCAGACAGATAATTAATTTGAAATGTTCGTTTCGTGTCTTGGATTTTGTTGTGGATTTATAAGGAAGTTACGTGTACAATGGATAAATAGGGATTATTTAGTCTAAGCTTATTAACACAAGTAATGCCTAATCTATGTAATCTTATAAAACTGATTGTTTCCATACACCAAGGGCGATAATCGTTAAATTAGCTTATTTTAAATAAAATTAAAGATGCTTTATTATCATTAATTACCTCTCATTAATCATATTAGCTATATCATTAAATAAAATCGCGACCCCGTGTAATAATCCTAACGAGAAAAATAACGGTAAACCGATTATCATCATAATTATCTCCCTTTTGTTTACATGTGTCATTAGTTAATTCTGATATGCGCAGTAGTGTATTTTTTTATGATATCATTCTGTGATATCCAAAACAACAAACTTGCAATTAGCACGATCTCGTTTAGGATATTTAATTATATATTATTAGATATTTGAATAAACATCATTGATGGTGATATCTGTATTATGTGTGGATGTCTGTCAATAGTGTTAGTACATGCTACACAACATGTGATACCTCCAGTACACATCTAGTTAGATTTCAATCGCTTTCAATGTGAATCAATATTACGAAAGTTTAGCGACCTAGGTTTCAATCGCCCTCAATGTGAATCAATATTACGAAAGTTTAGCGACCTAGGTTTCAATCGCCCTCAATGTAAATCAATATTAAGAAAGTTTAGCGACCTAGGTTTCAATCGCTCTCAATGTGAATCAATATTACGAAAGTTTAGCGACCGAGGTTTCTGCATCAACCGGTTTAATAAAGACGTGCACAAGCCCTGTGGTGTTCTTTGATGTCAATTTTCATAATCGAAATCCCCGTCCCGGTTCTTAGTTCTTTCTTCATTTATTCGGAAACTCCGTGTTGCATTTATTTCTGCTATGGGTTTCAAACAATTGTTCGTAGATGGTGTGGTTTAAACCTAAGAGGTTGTAGAGGTGCCCCAAATCCTTGTCACAAAACCACGCCACCTGACTCAATGACAGACAATACGGTCTATCGCACACGTTTTAAACCATCCCCCCCCCAATTCAACACAAAAACAAACAAACAGAAGCTTAAAATGTATATGTATATTTACTTCATATACACGTCACATGGTCTGAACCATTGTTTTAATTAAATTCTCGGTTCCTTCTCACAGACATAAGTTATTGATCGAGGAAGTTTCTATTGATAATTAATGATACCCGGTCATCGCGCGTCCAGTCGTAAAATGTTTGAACCAGCTATCAGAGACCATTTCATCTCTTGCCAGCAACTCACAATACCTTGTCTGTTCTGGTTGCTTCCCTTGTAGGTCACATCCGTATCATGTATTTCATTATTTCTAAATTGTTTTATTTTCCCATCTAGTGGCGTTGATGGTTATTGCGATTGGATGGTTAATATCTTAATAACTACGATGTATGTTCAGCCAGATGGCCTCTCTTAAAGCAATCACGTAGTTCTAGCAAATAAAAATTATATTGACGTAATGCACGATGACTTTAGGGGTCATGGCGAACCGAGTTTGTGATAAACTGTTAAATGATCCTTTTAGCTAGAAGAAACTATGTCACATATCTGGCAAGAACATACAAAAAAATCGTGCATTGATGGATTTTCTCTCGGTAATCAATGCTAGAGTCAGTGATTTTATGAGCTGAATGGCTTTCTGATAAAGTATCCTGTCAGTACAGCTCCCGGGCAGGGAATCGCAACCTTTTTGTTCTGGATAAACAGAATACTATAGTGTGAAAAGGCACATTGATCTTAATTGGGAATTGAATATGTATGGTACCCCACCGGCAAGGTTTTGAATGTTGATTAAACCTTGAGTAGGGCTCATAAACCTGGTTGTATGTCTCCGAGCCAAGATTTCAAATGCCAAGAGTTTAAGAATTAAGTTTTAATGTTGGTTTTTTTATTCTTTCAGGTTTCATGGATGCCAGTTATAGTCAAAGCCATTAAAATAAGTCATCAATTCGACGTTGTCATGGAATTCGTAGAGAAAATCAATTTCCGGAACTTGACTTTTAATTTTCTCCACCCTGCCAAAAATAATGCCAGCCTCGAAGACGCCGTTCCATTCGACGTCAGTGCCATATTCATAGGAATGTATCTGACCTTTGTGTTCGCGACTAGCATTGTCTTGAACATCTTAGTAATACTGGTTTTCAATAAAAGGGCTGGTCATGTGACCCATTCTAATAAATTCCTATTGAATTTATCAATCTGCAACCTGATGTCCTCTCTGTTTATTGTACCATTTGCCTTTGTTACCCTTTTACTCCGTGGATGGATTTTCGGATACGTGTGGTGTCAGATGACTGGGTTCTTCATGAATTTGGTATTCACCGCCAGTACTTTAACACTAGTAGTTATCGCCCTTGACCGTTACCATGCCATCGTGACGCCATTACATTATCCAATGTTGATGACGTCAAAGAAGTGTTACAGAATGCTGAGTTTGGTGTGGGTTGTTGCAGTTGTCTCTTCCATTCCACCAGTCGCTGGGTGGAACAAAATTGAATTTAAGAACCATAAAATGATTTGCACCCTGAAATGGAACAGTGAAGAAGGTCTTGACCGTTATTATAATTTATCCCTAGTGCTTCTGTGTTTCATGGTACCCCTTATTGTAATAGTGTGGGTGTACACTGTTATTTTCAAAGCCGCACGAAAGAACAGTCAACGAACGCGGCGAAATAATATGCCAGTTTTCCATAGTGACGTGAGCTGCAACGGCAGTCCTGTAAGAGGTGATGGTAGACGGAGTAGCACAGCTCCTATTTTAGGGCGACGAGTCAGTATCCAGAAACTGGGAGCATCTGTATGGTATCTGGAGGAATTCAAAACTGCCGTGACCAGCATTCTCATTTTTGTGACATTTATAGGCTGCTGGCTTCCATATTTCAGTGTCATTGTGCTCGAATCAACAATTTCCAAAGACTATTTAACTGTTCCTAAATACATCGAAACCGCCTGTATCCTACTAGCCATGTCCAGTTCAATGCTCAACCCCCTCGTGTACGTCTTCAAGAGTAATAAAATGCGCCGTGAACTTCTTTCGGTGCTTTCAGGAAAACAGAACTCCCCACAAAGTTCCTTTAAAAAACAACGTTTCTCTTACACTGTTGACGAAATCAAATCAAAAACTATTATCCGGGCCCTGGATGGTAATTTCCATCGTTTGTAAAACTTTCGAACATTGCTGGTTTTTTACAAAGGGTCGAGTTACGAAGTTCATTGTGTCAACGTGATCGCCAAAAGTGACGATATAGACTATTCAAAAGGATCTCAATGAGGAAGAACACACTGTCAAATATTGGCGAATGTGTATAAGATTCACAATGTAGACGAAACGGCAGTATATTGTTGCGTCAACTTTGTTATATGCTGTAACTAACTTTATGCTCAAGATTGAACTTAAATTATTATCATATCTTCGCGACATTCACTGTGCAATTTGTGATACTCAACTGTTTTATCGCCAAATGTCGCCTTATATATAATCACATAAACGAGTGTTATCCATTTCAAATGTCTAAACTTGCCTTAAATATTGTGTTTGTTGTAAATTATTGTTTGTATTTTAAACAATTAGTTTAATATTTGAAACTGGATGTTAAGTGTTAAGTATTAAGCGACAAAACGAAAATTCAATTATTTCTTCAACTGTGGCTCGCTCGTTAAAAGAGTCAAATGTCAGAAAAGAGAATAATGATGTCACATCGGGAACCAGTAACCACAGGCTGGAGACCTACGACGTTCCAGAGTTTTAAAAAAAAACAGATTTAGGGATAAAAACATAAGTTTTAATTTTTAATAATTTCATTCACATTTGTCATCGTATACCAAAGATCCTATTGGATAGTTTGGCGATGGATGTTTGATACTATTTTGATACTAAATGTGCAACGACTTTTCGTTTTGTCTGCTTGGTGAAGAAACGGCATTAAACCTATTTGATACTACAATGCTTCCCTGTAATTGTTAGCTTGAATTATTTATAGAAGATATTAGCCAACAAGAATTCAATTGTGCTATAATACCCATCTCATTTCATTGTTTGCAGATAATTACGATGTTCAACTCTCTTTGATGGCGTAGTTTTTTCGCCCAATTGTTATACTGTTGCATTGTAACTTTTATTGAATTATTTATTTAAGATATTAGCCAACCAGAATCCTAGAGTTTATTATTATATCAAAAGAATGTAATCGTGCTATGTTAGATAATTGGTCTGGTCAATGATGATACACTTCCTCTGGAAATTGTTAGCAGCCCTGCGCCATTTTTATACATGATGGAGAGCACGTGCCTGTTCCGTGTATTCAAATGATAGTGTAAAAAAAAAGCACATTCTTGGCCTACGACGGCGTAATGATAGCCCTTTTTTCTTGATTACGCAACCAATCAAATGTCTCGATAATGAAATCTTTTGAAATCGGCCAATCAAAAGCCTTCTCATTAAGAAAATGTTTTTAGTTTTAGGTCAATGTGCAGTGGGGTAAACAGTTTGGATTAAATTTCGTTTCACCTACCATTTAAACTGATATTATTTAATTCCATCTAAAACCATTTAGGTGAACCATTTGCTTTAATACAATTTTCTTAAGTTTCTATGAAAGTTGCGAAGAATAGCATCCGCCAATTTGAAATATATTTGAAGTTTATTCCAAGTTCATTTTCTTGTTCCGGTATAACCAATCAGTTTTCTGGAGAAAAACAAAACAAAACTTGAATATCCTTATTACAAATGACAAACTTAAAATAAATCATTTCCCGAAAAAAAAAAAACACATGATAAAATTGCTAATGGTTAAACTCAAAATTGAAAAATAAAACTAATTCAATTAACATCAAGCCGAGAGCGTGTTTTATAGCGTTTTATTTGTAGTGTAAATTCTTTTTATAATAATTTATAATTGAATCTCTGACAGAGTGGATTATTTATGGCGCAATGTTGATCAAAGCCAAGGAAATAGCATGCACAGTGTTTGTTATTTTAAACCCTTGAGTAACATTTACACGGTCAAGGTCATGCAAACAGTTTTGTATATATAAATAGAACGAGGGCAAAATGGGGTTTCACTCGACCCAGATTAGGTAATTTCAGGATTAATATATGGTTTCATTTTATTTCGAAAATTCGTTTGCGCTTAGGAGTCTTTAGCAGTGGATGGAAACCTTGTGATTTGAAGCACAAACGCTATACCATTCGGTCACCATTTTTATATAGGAGCAATGGATAACATTTAGGTTTAAGGTCGATGTCATCCTACTTATATAAAGATGAAGTTCATCATATAAACCATTAAATATAAATCACCGATAGAATAATTGCCTTTCTTGGTACATTAGGCCTATGACAAGTTAAGTAGGACATTTTTAGGATTAAAATATAATATTAATAATAAATTATAACATAAAAATGTCATTAAGGTCAATATATTTTTTCGGTGTGGGTTGTCGCCATTTTATATCGATTAGTTTTAAATTCAGTTTGGAACTAATACAAATAATTAAAGATACGGTTAAGCCGTAGTGCCACTGTCATGGCGAAATTTCTCTCATAGCACCTTGTTTGGCGTTAGACGGTTAATTCAGAAAGATCGGTCGTTAAACTTTATTTCATTTCTTTACGTATCTCTAAACTAAACAGCCGTGTTGATGGTTAAGTTTTTATTATGATCGCTTAGCAACAGATTTATGACGTTTACGTCATCAAATTGCAACGACCGTGCTTAAATTTGATTCATCTTTAGGGTAAATCTTAGATAAAACTCGTTGAACACAGGATTCACATTAGTCATATGAACTTTATCTGGGACAGTAAATCGCACTCGGGGTCACAGACTCCTTTTTATCAATCGTATCCATTCCAGTTTACATGGAAATTCAATCTAAATTAATAGTGGTGATATTTGTGCGTGGGCAAGAGTAAACAAAATCAAATAGTTTGGCGTTGATATACGAGTTACAAATGATTCTGTGTTAGGATGGGTAAATAACAACACAAAGCTGCCCAGAAACAGAAATAAACAATCAATCGTGTTTACAAATTAAACAGCGTAACAAATAAGATCAAATATATCAAGACTGTTAATGATGGAAATACTTCAACCCAGATGTGATACTAAGACTTTAACGCCCTGCTATAACTTAATTCAGACATCTCTGGTTAATTAGAAAGGCAAATTTCAAAAAACGCACGTCGATACCTTTACAAAAATCTTCTCTCAGTAACTTTTAGAAACGCATCTCGATAACTTTTAAAAAATATTCTATGATTAACTTTTAAAAACGCATCTTGATAACTTTAAAAAAATTTCTCTGATTAACTTTTTAAAAAAACGCATCTCGATAGCTTTAAAAATGCATCTCGATAACTTCAAGCAATTTTTATTCTCTCATGTAGGAAATAGCAGTTAGCGCGCCTCGATAATCTTTAAAACCATGGACAAATGGGTGTTTTCAGTATCGAGTTTGATCGTTTGATCTCTGACGCGAGCTTCCACTACAACCGGTCATGTCCTCATGTAATGTAGGCCATCGGAAGTATCGTTCGTTCGTTTCTGGAGTTTTACGTCCACTTCCACCTAAGGTGATATCGTAGACAAGTCGGAAGTATAATAAAAAACGAAACGAAATATAGATGTGTATTTTAATCCGATTGGTGATTAACTATGATACACGAGAAGGAAGTTGTAGTAATTATATTAATATAATAAGCGGATGACATCCTCGCTCATTAGTAACCGTATAATGGGTGATTTATAGTAGTGTTGTTGTAGGGGTTGTTTGTAATTTGTATCAATGATCGAACGGTCTTGGCAAACATATCATTTAAAGAGATACTATTGTTTTGGGGTTGTTTTATTGTAAAACAGAAACCTCATTATAAACAATGTCTTATTCGCCGACAAGGCTAGGCCTGTCTTACCTTGTCCCTATGTTACGCTTTATATCGAATCGAAATGAAATGGGGTTTAACGTGTTACGTTTGTGCTCCGGCTTTGATATTAGGGTAGGAACAACAAACCGAACATTTGTTTTCGTGAAATAAATTCGATATGAATACTAGTTGTTTCACGATGTTTTTATGAACTTCCATATTCAACAATTCTATTTATATTTTTCTATATAACTATTGAAATGTTTGTTCATTTGTTCTTTTTCAACCAGTATGAAATGCTTGTCATAATTATATGTAAATTAACTAATTTAAGCTTGTTAATTGTGTGATTGTTATGTACGCTTTTTGATTCTTGTTATATTACTTCCGGTTGTAACACTTCCGGTTGTAGCACTTCTAGTTACGTAACTCCCGCGTTATGTGATTGTATGCCTGTCGACGTAAAATGGGCCTACAACCAATTGGCTTTGTAAATACATGACATCTGAGAATTTGATCAAAATGGGTTTTTTCGAGTTTCTTTATCGTCACTAATGTGAACATACCTCTAATTATCTGGCTTCTATCATTCATAATTGTACATGGTGTCACGTGGTGTCACGTGTTCCATTCCTTCCAAATATGTCGGGTGTTGTGATAGATATATATAACTTCTATGTGATATTTTGTTTATTTTTGTATGCAATAACGTAAACAATAAAAAAAGATAACATAACATATTCGGTATCTTGTTTGTTCAAAAATAAAAATGAAGTGGGGGTTAACGCACTACTTTACTCGACCAACGGGGCTACTGAAGACGAGGTTGTGAGGGAAATTTTCCAGACAGCGGATATTTAGATAGATTATCTATCGTTGATTGTGATTTTGTTTGCATCATTAAAGATACATTATGGGAGAAAAGATAAAGAGCTGGCAGTTCTCACTATAATAGTTAAAAACTAGATAACGTACAGGGTATTTGCTAAAAATTTCAGTCAAATCGATCCACTCTATATCAAGAATTTTGCGATTGAATTTTCATCATTACTAAACTCGGTACGATAATAAACATAGTCTCGATTATCCATTTCATGATTTAATCATGAATGAAAGTTGAGCACCAGATCGGATCGTAATCTAGTGAATATTGCAGACTAGCGATGACATCGAGAGTTGATTATGGTCTGGATAAGTTAATTAATGTCTAATGAAAAATTTAGATAACATTTTAGTCCTAAAGAAAGACCTGCAATAGGCATATTTAGATCTTGCATAATTTATGTTTAAATATTTCAGCACCATTCTTTGAAATGGTTGATTAACGGGATTGGTCTATATTACCGCTCTCCTTAAGGTATTTAAGCCGTGCCAGTTTTAGTTATTGTGTGTTAGACGGAGTACTAACGCCGGGCGCTCTCTCTCTCTCTCTCTCTCTCTCTCATGGCCGGATTGGGCGATCGCCCGAAGGGCCGGTCGGAAAAAAATGAAAAAACTTTTTTTTTGTCCAATTCGTCTAAAAAACCTTTTTCTGCTGAACATAATATATGGGGTGGGGTGGGGTGGGGGCCATGGAGCGATGGTGATCATGTTGTATGTGGCCGGTGGCTTTAACGGGCCGCCACGCCATCACTGAAGTCTGGAATGGGCTGGTATAATAGACATTCTGGGCCGGGTGTGCTGGGTGTGGGCCGGAATTCGGAATCCTGCATAATAAGACGATATGATAATTTCACAGGTTGATGGTTGTAAGTTACTTGCAGGTCGAAGTTTTGGCCTAAATTAATCGATTTATGAGATATATTATTTGACAGAGATTATAATCAGATATGCCACCAAATCGCATATTTGGGTTTATTTTTCAAAATTTTCCAGGGGGAGAGCCCCCGCACCCCCCGTCCGGGCTCCGCGGTCAGTAAAAGGGGCCGCTCCGACACGGGAGACCGGGCCGGTTCCCGGCCCCAATCCGCCCCTGCTCTCTCTCATAATATATGTTTAAATATTTCAGCACTAACACCGGACGCCCTCTCCCCCCCCCCCCTCCCTCTCTCTCACTCTCTCTCTCACAAACACATATCCTGGATGTAATAGCTTTTATTTCTATATCACGCGTATCACGAGTTGTCATAAAATCTGGTTTTAAGATTTATGATATACGTTACCTCTTGGGTGATGGTATTTATGTTTCACGCTGATATACACGT